GTTTCAGTGCAGTATACATTATTGAACCCATCTTACTCAGTCTCTCCCCAACCCCAAGGTCAGTCCTCTTTTATAACAGTGGCACCATGCAATATTTGTCCTTTTGTGACTCTGATATTTCATATATATAATGTTCTCCAGAGTCAACCATTTGAATAGTATTGCATGAGTTCCTTGGAAAATTTTTATTAATAAGTATGCACTTAGAAAAATGTGAATGTATATACATGGCTTTCAATTCTTGTATAGATCAATTTTATTTATTTTTTTTTTTGTTTGGGAGAGTGGAGGGACAGCGCAGGAGAGGAAGACCCTCCACTTTCCCAAACATGATGTCCCTCTCCAAGGACCAGTCCCTCCTTGCAACATGCCCAAAGTATGTCAGACGAAGCTTCAGAATCCTTGACTCCAAGGAGCATTCCGGCTTAACCCTCCCTAGGAAAGCCTGTTTGTTCTCCTAGCAGTCCATGGTATATTCAACTTTCTTCTCCAGGACCACAGCTCAAAGGCATCAATTCTCTTCTATCATCCCTATTCAGTGTCCAACTCTCCAATGCGTAGCACGTAATTGTGAAGACTATAGTCTGGATCAGGCGCACCTTCGTCTCCAGCTTGACATCGTTGCTCTTCAGTACTCTTGAGAGGTCCCTCACACCTGACTTTCCCAATGCAATTAATCTTTTGATTTCCTGGCTGCTGGTACCAAGAGTGTTGACTGTGGAAACAAGTAAACTAAAACTGTTAACTCAATCTCTTCACCATCCATACTGTTGCTTCCAATTGGCCCAGTGGTGAGAATCTTTATTTTCTTGATGTTGAGCATCAGTCTGTACTGAAGGCTGCAGTCCCTGACCTTCTGCAGCAAGCACTTTAGGTCCTCCTCAGTTTCAATAAGGATTGTGTCATCTGCATAACACAGGTTGTTGATGACTCTTCCACCAATCCTGATGCACATTTCTCCTCATACAGCTCAGAGTCTTTGGATGATCTGTTCTGCATACAGATTGAAAAGGTATGGAGACAAAATCCGTCCCTGACGGACACCCTTCTTGATTTTGAACCATGTAATGTCTCCTTGCTCTGTTCTGACGATTGCCTCTTGGTCCAAGTATAACTTTTGCATAAGCACAAGTAAATGTTCTGGGGTTCCCATTCTTCTCAGAGTCAACCATAGTTTTTTTTTGATCCACACAGTCGAAAGCCTTTGCATAGTCAATGAAGCACAGATAGACATTC